ATATTTACAATATTATTTCCAAAAAAATTACGATTTTTTTATGTTGACATACACTTCTGTTTATTCATGTCTGCCGTCTTAAATAATATGGCAACCTATACATTTTGTGCGATATTTGGTAAATTTAAACTATATTAAATGAAAATAAGTGCATTTTTTGTACTTTGAACCAATAAAATTGTGAGGGTGGAAAAATCTTAAGGACGCTCTAAACACTGCACATTAAAGAGCTCTATTTATTGGGTAGTTTTATGCAGTTAGAGTTATCTGCCCTTAGATGTAAGATAAAGAAATTGTTATTTACCGTTAATTACATAATTTATAATAGATTAAAATATTTTTAGCAATATATAAGACCAAGAGTAAGAAAATAGATAAATCATTTTCATTAATTTTTCCAACGTAAGTAAACAACAGTGATTTCTGCTCACAGATAGTCAATTGTCTTTGAACATTTTTCCTGCGCAAATGAAGCACGTACCCTATGTTCTAAATGAATGAAAAAGTCTCAATATACATATATTTATTTGATATATTTTTCTCTGAGTCAAAAAAAAGTTTCTCTTAGTGTTTAGAGTTTCCTTAAAGGTGATATTTGTTTAAAGCTGAAAAGAAGTAAAATTTTCCTTCATCAATCAAAAAAATTATCAATCTAAGAAAAATAGATCCTTACGTTTCCTTATGAGCATCACAAAATTTTAAATATGAAATGTAGAAGTAGAAACGTTGAATTTAAGGAAGTTATTTTAGCTTGAACTGCTCAGTAAGATGTAGTTTATTATAATTATATACCTAACATGTGTCTTTTGGAGTGATATTTGATGTAACTAAAAGAATATGATTAAAATTTCTCATAAAACTTACAACTTTTCAACTCTATATAAAAATATTCCCCAAGATAGATTAAAGTCAAGGCTAATTGACATAATTGACAGCTGCTTTGTCAATAAAAACGTAACCCTAAATTTACGTTGTTAAAATCATTCTGATTGTACACACAAGCACTCTGAAGTTGATATTAAAAAATTGCTCGAGTTTCAAATTGACAATATCTAAATTGTATGTGTTTTTTGGAGAGTCTTCCAGCAATCTATTGGAATTCCCATAGGCACCAATTGCGCCCAGTCATTTGCAGACTTATTTTTGTATTCATTTGAAGCAGAATTTGTTCGAAATATTTTACGTCAAAAGAAGAAAACACTTTCTGTGGCCTTCAACTCAACATATGATATATCGACGAAGACGTATAATAAACTAACAATAGTTATTTCCATTCTTATTTCTGACACATCTGTTTCATATTTGGATCTTTTACTAGAAAAAGATGTCAATGGTTATCTAACAACAAAGCTTTATGATAAACGTGATGACTTAAACTTTTCAATTATCAACTTCCCTAACTCGTGCAGCAATATACCTTAGTTACCTGCATACGGAGTTTATAACACTTACTTGATTCGATACGAAAGAGTATGTTCTACGTAAAAACAATTTATAAACCGAGGTAAATTATTGACAAACAAGTTGATGAAACAAGAAGTCATCATTTTGTAAGTTCCATGGTCGATAAAATGACCTTGTCAGCAAATACAATTTATCATTAAGTCAGAAACTGACTGACTTTTGTCATACTGAGTGTTAGGACCACTTTTTACTCACTTATTTGTTCCCGGATATTTTCCGTTATTTCCCGATCATGACAAGGAGCACTCGGACGGGGTAAACGGTTAGCAGGGGATGTTCACTTCTCCATGGCACCTAATCCGATCTTTGATGTTTTGGAGTTCCGGGTTTGCTCTGATCCTTTTTTGTAATATTTAATGGACTTCTGAGCTTGAATACTGTTCGTTTTCTCCAACGTAATATAAGTAATATTCTTAATCCTTAATTCTTAATAAGGGTCCAGTCTTGTATTCCACCATATTTCAACTTAAAGACTGAACCTTGTATTTCCTACAAATATACATCGACCATTGCTTCCAAACTTTTCAATTACAAAAAAACTTTACATGGCCTGGACACCGATTATCTGAAACAAAATCATCCATTGTGTTCTTGTTTTTCTTCGCCCTATAACTATAGTCCTGCTGGACACGTTATTACAGGTGACGTAAATATACTTAATAATGAGGACTTTAGATCACTTATTTTAATAGGTCCTAAATATAGCCAACCCCGATCCTTCAACTAGAGTCGGAATTTCATAAATATTATAGATTCTGTTGAAAATTACGCAAGACGATGGGCCAGATATGAAAGAAAAGACATTGTCACCTTGTCAAAATGGATTAAATGTATCAGATCCATGATAAAATCGTGTATTAAAAGATTAAGGGGCAATATGAAAACCGTCTTTCCTTGTGTATTCAATAATCCAGAAGTGAAAAAAGAATTTGATAGATTACATGATCAGTACGTACTGGTCCCTGCCGACAAAGCAGGTAACAACATTGTCTTCGTTTGTAAGGCTCATTATATAAATTGTATCTTAGAAGAACTTGGATTTAATTCTACAAGTGGTAATCCTACTTATACTCACACTTCCCTTTCTAAGGAAGAAAGTCTTCAAAATCATATTTCAGTTTTAAATATTTTTAATATTCCAAAGAGCTAAAATGAATTTGAACTACCCTAAATATATTGGATTCCGAAACTTCATAAAGATCCTTACATACAAAGATACATTGCGGGTTCCAGTAAATGCTCTACCAAGCCTCTTTCATTACTCCTCAATAAGATATTGACGTACAGTAGTGAAGGGAAAAATTCAAGAGTACTGTGCAACAATATATTCAAGAAGTGGTGTGAATTAGATGTGAATACTCAAAAATTCCAAATAACTTTTGGACAATTTGAAATCACAAGAATTTACCAAAATCAACAGCTAAAAAACTTACGACTTTTCAACTTTATACACAACTATTACCCTCAATAAATTGAAGTCCAGTCTTTTTTATGTCATTGACAGCTGCTTTTTTAAATAAAAATGGAACTCGTAAATTTACTTACCTGGTCATTGGTCATTTGCAAAATTATTTTGTTAAAACACATTCTGATTGCACACACAAGTACTCTGAAGTTGACATCAAAGAGATGCTTGAGTTTCTGATTGACAATATCTATGTGGTTTTTAGAGACCATGTATTCCAACAATCTATTGGAATTCCCATTGGTACCAATTGCGCTCCGTTATTAGCAGACCTATTTTTATATTCATATGAAGCAGAATTTGTGCAAAATCTTATGCGTGAAAAGAAGAAAACACTCGGTGTGGCCTTCAACTCCACATTTAGATATATCGACTACGTATTGTCAATTAACAATGGTGATTTCCATTCCTACGTCGATACGATATATCCTGTTGAACTTGAGATAAAAGATACCACAGTCTGACACATCTGTTTCATGCTTGGATATTTTCCTTGAAAAAGACGTTAATGGTAATCTAACAACCAAGCTCTGTGATAAACGTGATGACTTTAACTTTTCAATCGTCAACTACCTTTACTTATGCAGTAATATACCGTTATCACCTGCCTACGGAGTGTATATATCTCAGTTGATTCGATATGCAAGAGCATGCTGTACGTATGAACAATTTCTAACACGAGGTAAATCATCGGTAAGCAAGTTGATGAAACAAGAATATCAGCAGTCTCGTTTAAGTCATCATTTTGTAAATTCTATGGTCGATACAATGACCTTGTCAGCAAATAAAATTTATTTTTGAGATAAATGCTGACTGACGTTTTTCATTCTAATTGTTAGTCCATTATTTATACACTGAATAGACGACGGATTTTTTCCGTTATTACCCGATCATGATATGGAGACATGGCGGGTGTGACCGGTCAGCAGGGGATGCTCAATCCTCCATGGCACCTGATCCCACCTCTGATGTTTTGGAGGTCCGTGTTTGCTCTGCTTTTATTTTGATTTGTTTTATGGACTTTGGTGTTGAATACTGTTCGTTATCTCCATACATATGTCGCTTTAGACATATTTTAAAAGCGAACTCTTAGTTGTATTATAAAAAAATTAAATTTCTTAATACTTTTAGCTGATTTTTTTCTTTTTGACTCTGATCGAAAGTATTTAAAAAATTATTCTTCCGTTCTTGAATTTTTTTCTGACTGGTTAACTGGTTTTGGGGCTGGAGCAGAACATATATGAAGTATTCATGAATATATATTTAACTTAATGACACGAAATACTCAGGAAATTCTTTATAGCAAATAAAATTCATTTACCTTGAAATGGGATTGCCTGTAACACTTAAACAAAGGATATCCAGGTGTTCACCTGTGTACTTGCATCACAACTCAGTACAGCTAGCTATTTTTACACCTAAAAATCTAAGGATAACCTTTTCCGTGAGGCTAAAATGTTATTCGGAAAAAGGACATGACATATTGTGAGGACATGCCACATTTTTTTGCATTTTATCACAGTCTTCCGGGAATGAAAATAAAAGAAACATTTGAGTTGCGTTGTTCCATTTGCATCTTGTTTTAACGAGGCGATAAACAAACTTTTCATAAAGTACCCTTTGGTCATTGGGGTTCTACTTCGTTTAAATGAAAAACATAAACCTTATTTAAATATTAATGGTAAATTATCAAAAAAGGTCAAATGAGGTCATTCATAAAATGTCCCCTAAAAACCACTAGACGGAAAAGGAAACTAATTTGAAAAATGTTTGTCTCAGAGTAAGTTGATCCCCCCCCCCCTTCAACTTGCTCGGAGAATAGGATGGAGTTCAATATAGAATAGGACTTATATGAAAAAAAAGAAAACAAAAAAGTGTTCAATCTTTAAAAAAAAACAATTTGCTAACAGTACAGATCTGTGAAATAAAATACAGACCCCCAGTATAGTCCCGTATAGTCCAGGTGGGATCAGGTGAGTAAGACTCCAGTATAGTCCAGGTGGGATCAGGTGAGTAAGACCCCAGTATAGTCCAGGTGGGATCAGGTGAGTAAGACCCCAGTATAGTCCAGATGGGATCAGGTGAGTAAGACCCCAGTATAGTCCAGGTGGGATCAGGTGAGTAAGACCCCAGTATAGTCCAGGTGGGATCAGGTGCATAAGAGGAGTAAGCTTCACTTGTTGACACGTCATACAGACAAGGAAACCTTATATGTAATGATCAGTTAGGCGGGGCATTTCATAATAATGAGTATAATAAAAACTAAAAACATAAAAAAAGGTATGCATCGCATCAGCCAAATAATAATATATTTAACATGTATGTAAGCTAACTCCTGTCCTAATAACGTTCAATTTACAAAATGCTGACTTTAATATAATCTAGATGTACTGTGAGTATTGAGCTCACTAAATGATGCCCCGCTTCCCATTATAATGGGCTGGCAAAGTCCATGTTTAGCACTGGGAGAGCCAAAATAAGTGTCAAATCAAAAAGTAAGATAGGAGGTCACAATGGCATTGTAATAAAGAATCTGTGAAAATATCATTAAATTTTATTCAGTGGTATAGAAGGAGCTGCGAATAAGAGATGGGTACCCTTCAATATTATAGAAGAAATGGCCGTGCTCATGTTTGCTTTTGAAAAATTTTGAACTGTGTGTCAGATCAAAAATTAGAATAAGAATTGCAGATAAGAGATGGCTACTAAGTCATGTGTTTCTTATATTCATCGACTATTACTGTGTATTCTTTTATTACAAAATAGCACGACAATGACTCTTCCCTACAACTATAGTTCCTGTGAATACTTAATTACTGCTGACATGAATATAGTCAACAATGATAATAAATAATCACTTATAAGGGTAGAAATTTGTGGAACCCAGATTATTCTTACATGCTAAATATAAATGTATGGAAAAGAATATGGCAAAGGATGTGTCAAAATGGAGAAAATCTTGGTACTGTGTCATAAGAAAGGATAAATAAGATTGAAAAGGATGTTGAAGTGTGGGATTGAACGGTTGAAGGGATATATGAAAATCATCTATCCCCCAGTCTTTAGAAATTATTAAAGACGCAACAAAAAATGATATTTAGAACATGATCAATATTACTGTTTCCATCTGACAAAGGATTTTATCCGTACAAACAAGAATACATAGCTGGTTCTAGTTAATGTGATATAAATATTCTATCTTTAATCCTTTAAAAATATTATCAGCAGTGAAGGAGAAACTTCAGGAAAACGTACCGTATAACATTTTGTAGAAATGGAATGAAATGTGGATACTTTTATGCTCCAAAAACACAAATGTTAGCTAGCTTCAAATAGCATCAAAACGTATGAATTTCCATTCTTTTATGCAAATGTTCCTCTCTATAGATATTCCTTTAGAAAAAGTGAGACGGGGGTCAAAAGTGAGCTGATCTAGGTTTCATGGCCACGGAGCCTGGTCTTTTGTTTATTTGCTTTTGTTTAATATCCCTCACTGGGATTTTTTTTCAATTGTATGTATGATCCATATAAATGAAAAGATCTCCAGCTATATTCCTTTACTCGAGTTCTAGTCATACGGAGATTCTTGTCATCGGTCAGTGATAGACAGACAATCAGATAAAGTGTAATTCATATACATCTACCAATATTTTATTATTGTGGGACTTAAAGAGACAAGTTCTTTTAAATTAATAAGATTATATAACGATAAAATTTTATAATAAAACAAATGACGATTAAATTGACAACCGTTGGGATGTGATATTGGTGATAAAGCTTGTTTCGGTCACCATCTTTTTGAAAAATCTAACCTTCATAAAATAAAGCGTCCCATATATTTCAGGCCAATGAAATGCGTTTTACATTTTAGTTATAAGATCCCAATTTTCGAACGGAGGAAAGCTGCTAACAAATGAGATATCAAAGAGTTGTATTAAGGTTTAGACAAATTGGTTCAAAATCAACTTTACACAAATTCTTTGCTTATTATAAGGATCTAGTTTTGCATAAACGTCCTATTATCACAGATAAGTTTTCTGAAACTTTTAACATTAATTGCTAGGTCAATGACATTTCTACATTAGTTGACAGCAGTTTGTTCCAACTAACTGATCGATGGATGTAAGCGGTCGTAAGGAATGGTTTCTCCCTCAAAGTATTTGTTCTCACCTCTAGTGTTTTTTTAGGTTCCGTATTCTTGCTCTGAAAGAGATTTCTACTCTGAACTGGATTTATGAAAGTGGTCATTTTTGGTTATTTTCACCTTTAAGGAGGATGGGGTTTAATAAACCAACCGTCAGATTTAGCTTTTTTTTTTAAAGATATGATATCCTAAACTGTCAAATATCATTTGGCAAAGAAAAATTTCATACCATTTTGGTTTTAAAATTTGATCATTTTTGTACATCTTTATGTAGATGTCTTCTTCTGAAGGAAATTAATATACATGTACATGTAGTTTGACAACTGCCACAACCGCCCAGCCCTCAAAACATTATATATTAAATGTATTAACAAGATAGATAAGAAACATTAAAATGTCAATTATGAGATATACTAGTAATTCAGAACGAAGACATGAAGCAAAACACAATCTTTATTCGTCCTTAGCAAAATACCCGCGAGTTTAAATTACCCATAAATTATCTGATTATAAAGAAATATTTAAGAAAATTGAAGACCAGAATGAAGATGTTTGCTGTAATATTATTTTTAGGTAAGAAATTACTTTTAATATTAGGGTGGTGTTCCTCTCTGTATATAATTGGTTTTGATACAATATACTGATTGACTATAATTTGCATTTTCCCAAATTTCTCGATAACACATTTCTATTTATTTTCATTTGTAGGAAACATTCTGATCTCAATTTCTTGTCAAATTTATATTATTTTCTCATGACGCCACATCACAAGTTTGAAAAAAGTGATGATTACCAAACAACTAAATTTATCTCGCTTATTCTGTCTCATATGAATTTTTCTACAGAATTAAACTGATTTTTCCTAAAGGAAAGTGTCTTCAAAATTCATTGAAAGCGAAATAATTCATTACTTCAGTCAAAAAAAACTTCAAATGATTATATACATGTTTAGGCCTATATGATTTTTTAAAAGATATACTAATATAGTAATTGGGAAAACAAGCAGAAATATCTGTAATATTATCGAAGAAACATGTGGTTTTCGCCATGGAAATCAATAAGAAATGGCAAAATTTAAAATGGTTAAAAGTCCAATACACGGAAAGATCAAAAAAGAAAACAAGATTAAGCGGAGAGAGAGAGAGAGAGAGAGAGAGAGAGAGAGAGAGGCTTTGTCGTCAGGTTACTTTAAACCGATGACTATCATCGGCGCATTTCGCTAACATCAGACAACAAAACCGCCATTATTCTTAATAACTTCATTAATCTGTATCAAAGTTTGACGTAGAACAATTAAAGTTAAACCCCCGCAACGGTAATAATAAATCGGTTACCCAGTCCCATGTGTCAATGAACTTTTACGGAGACACATAAAAACTAAATGACTTTTATCCACGGGAAGCACGAAATGTGATATTCTTCTGAATCATTAACGAAAGAATGGGGATATATATCGAACAGTATTCAAGCTCCATTTATACATAAGAAATCAGAAGCCAAAACAGACGTCTGAAACATCGGAGGTAAGATCAGGTGTCATAGAAAATTGAGCATCCTCACAGCGAGGTTACACTCGCTGTGTACTTCTTGACATGGTTGGAAAAAAAATTTCAAAAAACGTAGACAATCAGTGTGTCGATAATGAACAAACAATTAGTATGAAAAACATCAGTCAGCATTTGACCAAATGATAGATTGTATTTGTTGACAAGGTCATAATATCGATTATAGAACTTGTAAAATTATACCTTTCAACAAAATTGTTTTCCGTAACTTTCATCGTTCGTAGTTATTCATAGGTAGAGCATGCCGTTGCGTATCGATGTAAACCCCGGTTGCGGAATATAAGGGGATTTTTTATACAAAAGGAATGGAAGTTGAGGATTGAAAATGATTTTTTTTTTCAATTCAGTTGACCAGTGCCGTTTATTTACTAATATATGTGTATACATAAACTTTTTACATGTTTTTCATTAATTTATAAGTGTACATTAAAGTAAAAGGAACTGAAGGATGAACACAAGAAATACTTAAGATAATTATAATGATTCTTAACCTGTTAAAGTTGACATCCTTATTTACTAGGATTGAGCAGTGTGGTCCTTGGCGCCCCTGGTGGTGGTGGTGGCGGGGGTCCACCACCCTACAGTACTGATTGGGAGACATCGCTTAGAACTAGAGTTTTCACTAACTATTCCACACAGCAACGACCCTCACAAAGAGTGATAGTCCATGTTTCCTTCACGTTACTAACCATTAATGATTTGGTAAGCAAGTTACAAATATTTCTATAGGTATAGAATATATTGCAGTTTGTTTTCAAGAGAAATTATCTTTAATTCTTTTTCACACATGATTCTTCTTATATATATTGTCAAAAATTTATTAATATTTTTAGCCTAATTATATCAAAAACAAAATGGTATGGAAATTAAAAGTTTTGACAGAAGAAAGAAAAAACAAACATTTTACTGATTTTTTGCTGAATCGTAAACCTTTTTAAGACTGTACAAAAAGCACGGGTGTGTTCAAAAGCTAACAAGATAGTATGTAGTTTGTTTGGAAAATCATATTTATTTAATATATTTCACAACTTCAATCCATAACTAATAAGCCGGGTTATATTAGAAAAGATTTTTAATTCTTAGATTGTTTATTATTTTTGACCAAGAGATATTTTCATGCGCCATCATTCCACCGAAAGTATAGTCCCTGCTAGACTTCAAACTCAGTTCACCATTTCTGTTTCAAGTTGTAGTTTTATGTTCAGGGCAGTTTAATACCATTTCTGTTTCAAGTTGAACTTTTTTTTTTGAAAGAAAGGGAAATATTATCTTTTAAATCTCGTACATCTTCATATAAAGGAATATAAGCAAACGTTTCTTCAAGACAAAAACAAGGCAAGAACCTCCTCTCAAGAAATAAACAGCAATGATAAAAAGTTTACTGGGAAATGATTAAAGAAATTAATTAACCTCTCCTCGTCGAAGTTGAACTTTTCAATCAAATACGGTAAATATATTGATATATCGATTTTACCGATATTAGGATCTCACAATATTTTGTTTTTGTGTGTGTGATTTATAAAACCAAAATTGTTTTGATTCTATGATAAAATCTTTCAGGTCATGGCACTATATATCAATATTAAATTTTTGCACGGGATTAAACTCCACATACATTCCTTATGATTTATAATACTAAGATGGTCGAAAATCCTCAATTGAAATGAAAAAAATATTATATTAAACTCATTAATTATGATGCTATTTTCATATCCAATGAAGAAGGTAAAAATGTCTTTTTTATGCAAGAGGCCCCTGGGTATTTATATATGTATGCTAAAATTTGTACTACAATCATTTTTTTTGCTCAAAAGCTCAATTTTTTGTAGCAAATATATACGGTAAAAAATATCTGGATAATAATATACTTGTAATTTATTATATATATTTTTAGCAAAATCATGTCCTCATTTTCAACATAAAGATAGCGCTGCTAATTAAAAAAAACTTTAAAAAAAAGAATAATAAAAAATTTTAAAAGATCGAACATTTTACTTGTTAAATTTTCTATTCTTCATTTAATTTGAGAAACCTCTAAATTTAACCCATGTTAAATGAAATATAGAGATAATTAAACAAACCGCAATCGAGCTCAAAAAGTTCATTGAAACAATACAGATTGGATACAGAGTAACGTCTATAAAAAAAAACCCGAATGATGAGAAGTATGAGTTTTTCCAGCTTTGTTTTTGTCATGTTCTATTAAACGTCATCCTGATCGAAAAGTTTTAATTTCCAGAACATTAAAGATCAGACAATGTCATCAACAGGCTACCTAACGCTGGTAAGACTTTACAGAAAGTTAATTGATTTTTTTAATGTTTCAGTTGGTTGTGTTTTTGGATTGAATTAAAACCATGTTTTATCGTAAAGGAAAAAACATATCTCTTTATGGCTGGAAATTTCTCAAATGTTGTTATTTCCAGGTTAATATCTCATCTTTCTGCACGAGAGAGAGAGAGAGAGAGATAGTTTTAAAAATGAAAACTGTGTAGGTTTCAACAAAGGCATCTCTATGATGTTTAATTAAAAACAGAATTATTTAAATGGTAAAAAGCTGGATTTTAAATGAAATTTTCAGCGCAAACATACTATACTTCTAAATCAGGTCTCTGACAAGACAGTGAAGGCACTGTCATTAATTACTTGGAATCTTTGGGTAAAAAGCTGTAAAGGAGCTTTGTGGCGATGGCTTTATATGTTCTTCATTTTTTAAATTAAAAGTATAATATATAACATTGTGTGCTAATAAGACAGGAAATTTGAGCTATCTATTTTCACAATTTCTTGCATTTAAAAATGTAAGTATATTGAAAAAAAAAACTAACTCGACAAGAAATGAAGTTTCATTTAAGACAGAAGTGATGATTTATGATGAGGCCATATTTAAAATAATGTTGTTTGTCCCTTCTCGACTCAGAGTAAAATTATTGGGTCGATAGGTGAGGGTATAATTTTTCGAGAAATTTTCAACCCGACATTTACTATTATAGATATATTGACGACGTATTGTTAATTAACAATGTTTATTTCCATTTTTATGTTGACACGATATATCCCTGCGGTGAGCTTGAAATAGAGGATACCACAGAGTCTGACAAATCTGTTTCATATTTAGACATTTTATTTTGAAAGGTAATTTATTAATCAAGCTTTATGAAAAACGTGATGGTTAACTTTTCAATTATTAACTCCTCTTATTTATGCAGAAATATACTTTCATCACCTGTATACGGGTTTATATCCCTCAGTTGATTGGATACGCAAGAGCATGCTCTATATATGAACAATTTCTAAAGCGAGGTAAATTATTGGCAAATCAGTTGCTGAAAGAAGAATATCAGTTGTCTTGTTCAAAGTCATTTCGTAAGTTCATGGTCGATAGAATGACCTTGTCAGCAAATACAATTTATCATTAAGTCAAATGCTGACTGATGTTGTTCATACTAATTGTTAGGCCATTATATACACACTAAATTGTCGACGTATTTTTCTGGGTTTTTTTTTCCCGATCATGACAAGGAGCACACGGCGGGTGTAACCGGTCGGCAGGAGATGCTAACTCGTCCATGGCACCTAATCCACTCTCCGATTTTTTTTTCTCTGCTCCAATTGTGTATTTTTAATTGACTTTTGGGCCTGAATACTGTTCGTTATCTCCAAATATTTCATTGTAACATATTTGTTGAGAGGATAAGAGGAATTACAGAAAATAATATCACGTTCTGGAATGTGAAAAGAAACGTTTTGCGTTGGACCATTACTAGTCAGTCGGTCGGGGGAGGGCAACCAAATGATGTTTTAAAGATGGCCTATCTACAACATCTTATTAGACTGTCCGATTATTTTCCAGAGATGGAAAGACGAGCGTTTAAAATGGGACACTGCACTAGATGGTAACGACTACAGTAATGTGAAGTTTCTCTTCAGCACCGAATCATACGTGTGGCGACCAGCTCTCATTGTGGAAAATTCGTAAGAACTTATCATCAATTATCAACCTTTTGTAGTAATGGAACTTAAAAAAGCAAAAACATTATAATTCTATGCATAACATTGTAGTAATTGGTTATTTTTAGTTGTAGACCCTGGTCTAAGTTACGACTTTGACTCTGTTTCTATAAAACAATATTCTTCTAGGGCAGAGTTATTGCATGAATAAATTGTTCAAGTCCTACAAAAAAAAAGACCGGTTAACCCAGTTTAGAATACAAAATATGTGAGACATCCTGTCTTCTTCCGATATTTTTTGATATGTCACAGAAATCTACATATATGGACTTCTAACCCATTACTCCGGGGCCTCTTCATTTGCAATGCAGGAACAAAAAGTTTGTAACAAATTAGGGATACCTTAGTGCATTCTAATTCAGAAATAGATGACTTGGTTATAGGAAGTATTATAAAAACGAAATAGTAATCATGTACTGTATGATATCGATTTATTTTTTTAAAAAGATAAATCTAAAAGAATTGCATATATATATTTCATATTCTGCACTCCTTTTTAAGAATTCACATGCCATTAAACTCGCATAACAAGTAGATGTATTTGAAAAAATTCCTTTCTAAGATCGATGAACTTAAAAAAATAAAATTTTAATAATTGATTATAATTACAATCCAAAGAATTAAATAAGGAGATAAAACAGTGAAAAGACAAGACGTTAATTAAGAAAAACAAGAAGGGCAAACATGGACCTTTAAAAACAGTTGGCCGGGATCAGATGTCACGGAGGAGTTCCCTTGTCGTCTTTGGCATTCTCGGGCAACGAAAACAAATGTGCGGAGAAATTGTGCGTTAATAATAAGTATAGAAAATGTCAGTCAGCATTGGATATTATTTCCTAACAGGGTCAATATATCGACCATAGAACCATAGATGTTATTTGAAAATAGACCATTGTTATCCTTGTTTCATCAACTTGATTGTCAATAACTTGTTTTGTTTTAGAAATTGTTCTTACATAGAGTATGATCTTGCTTGTCGAATCAACTGAGAGACATAAAGTCCGTATGCAGATGACAGGTGTAAAATGTTACATAAATAACGGAAGCCTGCGATAGAAAAAGGGATGTTTATTATAAAAAAAAATTTCCAGTAACGTCATCTCTACTAAAATATCCAAATATTAAAATCTATGGAATCCTCTACTTAAAGGTCATTGGTATGTGTTGACATATAAATGGAAATAAATTTTTGATTTATTATATATCTAAATTTATCAGAACATTGAGTTTAAGGTAAGTTTTTTCGTCTAGTATATTATTTTCGGAATAAAATGGGTTTTCATTATTAAAAGCTTTTCTGCTAAATAGAATAGAATACTCTGACACATCTGTTTCATACTTGGATATTTAACTTGAAAAAGACGTTAATGGTAACCTAACAACCATACTCTATGATAAACATGATGACTTTAACTTTTCTATCGTCAACTTTCTTTACTTTTCAGCAATAAACTTTCATCACCTGCATGTTTTGATTCGATTTGCAAGATCATGCTCTACGTATGAATAATTTTAAAACGAGGTAAAATATTGACAAACAAGTTGATGAAAGAAGAATTTCAGCAGTCTCGTTTAAAGTCAGGATTTCATAAATGGAGGCCCATGTTTGCTTTGCTCCTATTTTGCATTGTTTTATGGACTTTTGATTCTGAATACTGTTTGTTATCCCAATATGTTTCATTGCATTTCCAGTTAATGAATTCTGAGTAGAAAATACTTTAAGTTTTCTGTTTAACAGAAAGTGTCATTAGTTGAAAAATAAGAGTTATTTTTCTTTGTCTCAAATACACATATAAATTTTGAATGAACTTTGAATGAACTTATGTTTTTATCTACTCTCAATGAAGTTCGACTTGATATAGTAACGCAATCATGCGTGTGTGGAGGGGGTGGGGTTTGTGTGAGGGTGTGTTTGTGTGTATGTTCTTTGCGAAACGGAATTGACGTAATCTGCATCAATGATCTTGATTTGTAGACATGTTCTTTGCGAGGGAAAGCTCCACACTTCAGAACCCTTGTTCATCTGAAAGTAGTCTGATAGTTATGTATTGATGATAATACTGAGTAATATTATAGACCTAAATTGAGGTCTATGGTAGGATGAACCAAACTTCATCATGAAATCTGTATATATAAAACATATAGGCAAAGAAAAATAACTCGTGTTTATATAGTAAGAATATGTCTCTTCAAAATACCGGGGTAATTTTTTCCGAACCAACAGCCTGATAAATGTTTGTCAGGGTTATGTTGTGAAATTTTGTATCGATGTTTTAAAATGCGCGCAAAATTCATTATATTTTTACGTATAAAAGATATAGCATATTTTTTGTACTAAAGAGACCTTTTTACGATTTCTGTACATTTTAGTAATGATTAACTCAATTCATACATGTAACATACATAAAAAGACCAAAAATAAGCTAGATAATTTTAATTTTTTTAAATATATATTTTTCTGGAATAGATAAATTTGCTCTTCAGAATTTTAATTTATTGAATGAATTATGTGGAGATCATGATCATTATTCGAGCTAAACAGTTCATTAAACAATGCAAATTTGGATTAGAGTAAACACGGACCTCCAAAACATCAGAGGTGGAATCAGATGCAGTGGAGGAGTGAGCATCCCCTGTCGACCGGTCACACTCGTCGTGTGCCCCTTGTCATGATCGGGAAATAAGAAAAAATACATTAATAATCCAGTTTGCATATAATGGACTAAACATTGATATGAAAAACGTCAGTAAGCATTTGACTCAATCATAAACTGTATTTGCTGACAATGTCATACTATCGACCAAAGAACTAATGAAGTGATGATTATAAACGAGACTGCTGATATTCTTGTTTCATCAACTGCATGAACTGAAAGATATAAACCCTGTATCCAGATGATTAGGTATTAAGCTGCATAAGTAAGGAAGGTTGACGTTCTAACCTCTGCGCCACGCCGGCGACGATTGGCGATAGAAAAAAGTTTATCATAAAGCTTAGTAGTTTTTTTTTTTCAAGTAAATATCTAAATATGACACATACATGTATGTGCCAGGCTCTGTGGAAATCTTTTATTTCAAGCTCATAGGGATATATCGTATCGCAAAAAGAATGAAAAGAACGAATTGAATCATTCAGTTCTTTACTAATCTTATAGTTACTAGTAATACATTTGAATATTTCAGGACAAATAAACTGAACACTTTTATTGGCATGTATTTTACCTGACTTTAGTAAAGAACTATTACTTTTGTTTATCAATACTGCAATATCTTTAAATAATTTTCTATAAGTTAGATGTAGCTGACAAATAAACGATGATGAAAATGAAATTAATTATCTATATCTTTATACAATATACATGTATACACATGTATATTTTCGTGTCAAAAAGCATCGTGATTTACATCGAGACCGAGTGTCCCTTATTTATCATTGAAAATGAGTAAAAATGTTGAAGTTTCACTATAAACCATTTTACACGCTGTAGTCAGTATTTAAAGCATTCTCTATGGAGAGATCAGACTATAAATCATCGATTTGTCTAAAATTAGTTGCAATAAGCGTTATGAATTTTTTTTCAATAACAAACGGGGTTTTTTTTTAATTATGATCATAATAATTTTTTTATTGTGAGTTTTTCTTATCATATGCTCTGTTTATTTTAAATTGACAAATAAACAACACGCTTATAATTTCATAAATTTAAAAAAAAAATGAAATTTTATATTGAAAATGTATATATTTATCCAAATTAATTTTAATGACATATACGTTCTTTTCTTTCATTTCTAAAACTCAAGTGTTGCTGATGTGAAAATCATCAGTGATGTAAACACCCCGATGCGAATACTGAGTACAGGGAGTATCGAATGGAGCCCTATGGGACTGTACGTTGTAAGTTGTGAGTCGGACATCACCTATTACCCTGTAGATTCCCAAACGTGCTTCATCAAAATCAGCTCCTGGGGCTATACATCTTCTGAGATAGACCTACAAATGAAATTCTCTACAATTTCTCTGGGATTCTACAGTCCCAATGGTGAATGGGATTTGATATCGACTGTAGCTGAGGCCTCGGCTGCCAAGACTAGAGGTGACTTCAGTTTCCCGAGCCTCACATTTACTGTAACCGTGCAGAGAAGACTCCTGTTCCACACACTGAACACTCTTTTTCCCGTGGGCCTCATGGCTTTTCTTATCCCCATGGTTTTCAGACTTCACTCCGAGTCAGGAGAGAAAATTGGGTTTTCCTTGACCGTTCTCTTGGCGTATGCTGTGTACCTGACTATGATATCGGACAGTATCCCCAGCACCTCCTTCACGCCATGTTACTTATGTAAGCAACATTTTTATTATTTTCATTTAGATAAATAATTTCAAAGTATCTGTTTTCCTTCCGCTTTTTCAAACATTTTTTAATTGTACCAAAAGTGATAAAAAGATTAATCACAAATAAAAAATTGAAATAGGGGAAGAGGTTGTCAAGACCCCTGAAAGTTTTTGTTGTCCTGCGTAGAAAACTTTTATTTTGTTTACATGAAAACTGTTAAAAATTAATTCAACTTTACACGAAAACACTTTGACCAAATGAAAAGAAAAATGATTTAAACTTTTTAAAAAATTGTTTTCTTGTTAATAAGTCTAAAAATTTGCAATTTTTATACCTCTTATATGTAATTGAAACTTGTTGAAATTCTGAAAAGGAACATTTAACAATGGTTCGCTTCCTCCCTCCTATTATAAACCTTTTTCAAAAATCATATTTTATTGTCACTGGGGAAATTTGCTATAAAAGAAATCGCACTCTGAAACTAGAAGAGAGAGTAAGTTTTCCTCTCTGAAATTCGAATCAGACGTGGGATTTCTGTATTGGAAATGAGAGAGAATTTTCCGAGGGAGGAAAATCCTCTTCTAAAATATATTTTCCAAAAGAAATCCTCTGAGTCAGTTTTCCTCGAGGAAATATTTTACAGGGGAAAGCTTTCTCTACAAGAATGGTAAAGGGTTTCAAATTTAGACCTATTCTCGGCACTCAGGGTTATTAAGAAGTGACAGTTCTTCTTCGTGCCAATGCCTAGTTTGACACTGGTCCTCGCTTAGACGGTGAAATCAAATCAAATAAATGAAATATTTGGAGATATCGAACAGCATTCAAGCTCAAAAGTCCATTAAACAATACAAATTTTGGAGCAGAGCACACACAGAGCTCTAAAACATTAAAGGTTGGATCAGATGCCGTCAAGGGAGAAGCATGCCACGACGACCGGTCACATCCGCCGTGTGTTCCTTGTCAATGCCGAGAAATTAAGGGAAAATCCGTCGGCAATTCAGTGTGTAAATAATGGACTAACAGTATATGCACTGCATTTGCTGAAAAAGCCATTTTATCGGTTATAAAAATTACGAAATAATTACTTTGAACGAGACTGCTGGTATTCTTGTTTCATCAACTTATTTGTCAATAAATTACCTCATTTGAGAAATTATTCGTACGTAGAGCATGTCCTTGCGTATCGAGTCAATTGAGAGATGACCCCGTATGGGAGTGATGCTGGTATACTGCTTCATAAGAAAGGGAAGTTAACGATTGAAAAGTTAAACGACCTCATTCGAAAGACCCGAAATTTGACGTAGAGCGGTAAATAGAAGTCCAGCCCGGGGCTTCCTGGTCATAAAGCGAATGCCCTAGTACTCAGCTACCGTGACTGGTTGGTGAATAAACAAAAGAAACACTAGTAATTAAAAGTGTCATAAATTTTAATATTTGTCGAATCACAACGTTCAAATAAATTTCATTGCGTATAGTTTTAAAAGGGAGTGTCTTGCGAATTAAGTTATTCAGTGGCAGACCTGAACCATTGATCTCGCTCCATAAAAGGCAAGAGAAATCAATAAAATGCTTTGCAGCTCACATCGACGAATCAAATAATATTCATGGTTTCTCTGGTATGTAAGACATAAAAAAAAAGAAGAAGGTAAAGGAGTCATTTTAAGGTGACGATGAAACAAACTGTGGAAACAGGAGATTTTTTTGTTATAAAAAGAAAGCAAAAGAATAGAAAGTTCAAAAATTCAAAGAACAAAAAGTAAATAAGTCTGTAATATCTTAAATTCAATACAAACTTTTTAGTGTGTGTGAACAAAATTAATACTTCATTTAGGCCCACAAAAATTATTTGCAAATTAAAAAAAAGTTTGCATATGTTAATCTTTTAATGTATCTTCTGTGTATATTTTCAGCGATCTATTTGGTCTTTATCCTGGCTATATCCTCCATCTCGGTTCTCTGTACCATTCTCGTACTGAATTTCAACTTTGGAACCGATGCAGATCCCATTCCAAACATTACTCGGATAATTGTGGTCTCCATCATTGCTCGAATGATTTGCTGGAGGCAAAAAAGTTGTCGGCCTCGGAGAAAAGTTGCAAATTCTACAGTAGAGCTTATTCAAGATTTTCAGTCCACAGAGTCAGCCGAGCAGAAAGATGACTTGTCAAGCGAGACAGATGACGTCACATGGCAGGATCTGTCAACCATTATGGACAGGGCTTTTTTCATACTTTTCTCAGTTTTGATTGCACTAGCTACTGTTATGTTTATTTCTGTTGTTTTTTCGGAACGTGCTTCCTCCTAAAACTTACTTTTTTGCTGCTTACTGTGTGTATGATACCATAAATATGTTAAGGTGTTTCAACCCTTACAATATCAATGGCTCAAAACGGCATTTATTTTATTTTAGTTTTGATAAATTTACATATCATTTAAAGACATATTTTCAAAGATGAGAGACATAAATAAATAGAAGTTTATCTCAACGTTTAAAAAAATTGTACATTATTAGTAACATTACTTTCAAAATTATGTAAAAACAGGCTTAAGTGCATAATTCTGATTCTGATAGTTTCAGAATACTCTCTACTTATAAGAAGTATTAGAATAGTGAATATCAGTGAAACGTTTTTTTTTTACATAATACAGCTTTGAAAGTACAATAAAGAAAACACATGAATGTAGATACATGTAGAATGGAGAAGAGGTATTGCCCTTTAAACAATGTTTAAAGATTAAACAATTTCTTAAATGACGAAAATATACATTTCAAAGAAAAATCTTTATTTGATAATATTTTATTACACATATTAATAAAAACTTTTTTAAAGATATATATTGTTCTATAAGGCGAGAATTTATCTCAACATTTTTTCAAAAACCTATTACATCATAGATAGATGGAAATGCCTGAAATTGAAAAAAAAAGGAAAATATCTTGAATTAAATTATAATGTTTAATAACTCCTAGTTATAATTGTGAATCCTGATAAGAATCATTGTGCTAACATCCAAAACAATTTAAAGTCAAACGCGTACAACGTCAAAAAAAGATAAAAACATACGTACATCAATTTCCCTCAGCCATCGAAAACTAATCAACCATCAAATCTCATATATATATTTTTTTGGGGGGTAATGATTTTTTTTTCTGGTTAAATCATTTATATAAGTTTACGAAAGTAGATAATTTATTGTCCATGTTTTCATCAAATAGTATATCAAAGATAATTTTTAAAAAATCAAAATAAATACTATGGCAGTAAATAATTTTTCTTAAGAAAACTCTGCCTACTTTATTTCTACAAAACAGATATTATTTAATAAGACTGAAAACCCTTACGTGATATCTAGTTTTTGACCATATTTTCATTTTTTAGCCAAGTATTTAAGTTTGCTTCTGTCTTTATCCAGTGTCTCTATTCTTCAGCTCTTTATCATAATTTCCTTAAGACGAAAAAAAAATCAGAAAAAGGTAGAATATTTAAAAGTAAAAGAATTTTAAAATAATGTTAGTGTTATGTTTGTCTGGGGATTTTGTCTCTGTCTAATATTGTTTTTTTTTTTGTAAATTTTGGTAAGTTTTCTGGGTTTATGGCGCATTACTCATGTTTATAACTTTCTACCAAGAAAATAAAAACATTAGAAAATAATTTTATGTTCAATATATCATTTTTTAAATTAAATTTAAATACTTATTCTTCATGATGATTATAGTGATTTCATTACCATTTGAAAACAATTTTGTCCCTGAAACACTGCATAAGCCCAGTCATACCGATAGTTTCAGTTTGAAATAATGAAGATAAGGAACACAATTTCCATCTCAAAAGTCCGTATAAACAATACAAATCAATGGAAGAGCATTTAGACGGAAACTGAACGATCTGTTAATCTCCGTATTCCGTAAGAAAAAGTTAAGTTTACAGACATTGATGCACACCTTGCCCCAGAAGACGGTCTGTCTTTCAAAGGACCCATTTTTTTAACGTGGAGATAACAAACAGTAATCAAGCTCAAAGTCATTTGAAACAATACAAATGTAATAATACAAGTCAACAGCAGAGCGTCTCAAAGCATCAGTAGTGGAATCAGGTCTAATGTAGGAGTAAACGTCCTCCGTCGACCAGTCACAACCGCCGTGCTCTCCTTGTTTTGATCGGATAAAGTGTTTTACAGTTGTTAGTCAAGCCTAAGAGGAATAAGACAGCACACTTGTAAAGTAGACAGTGAAAAGAGTGTTATCAATTTTGCATATGTAAGAGAATGTTATTCGATATTATGCATGCATCCATTCCTTGCTTAAAACAAATTTTATTGGTATATTGTCGCGCCTTTTTTGTACCTGTTGGGTTCAGGCAATCTTCCAGCCAATAAGTGGTGTTTGGGGATATCAATAGAGGTAAAGTAAAGAAACAAAAAACATTTAGTCTTCCTAAGGTCTAAATCAGCATACTCATCAACGACATCGTCTTGATACATCAGTAAATTTATTAATGAGCACATGATTTGTAGCCCTCAGACTAAAGACATTGAAGGTGTAAATTCAAACAACACCACGAAAAGGTGTTATTTTATTAAGTGTATGTTTAGGATATTTTACGTTCTAGACAAGAATTTTTCACTCTTTTAAGAGATTCACTACCCGCACATTTCATTTCAAAGAGCCAGGTGCTTCGAAAACAATCTAATTAAAATTAGATCAATCATCATTTATCTAACCAACGATTTGTCGCAAATTACATCAAAGCAATAAAGCTCGGAATTTCCCGATTTTAAAAATGATATTACCTTATTTGAATTTGATTTTTAATATCGTTCTAATATGCTTACCACGATTTCAGTTTACACAGTATTTCAATAAACAATGTTTTGTAAAGAATTTTTAAATATATATATATATACATATTAAAAATTCGTAATCATGGGGAAAGCCATATAAATACCTACATGTAGATTCTTAATACAATCTCCAACAGTTCACCCGGACCTCTTAAAAACATCAAAGTTGGGATAAAATATCGTGAAAGAGTAAGCATCCACTGTCGACCGGTGTAACGTTGAATATTGAAAATTGACTCATGGTTCATTTTTCAGCGTTGAATATTGAACCGGGGTTTGCTTTCAACCTTTGAAATTTGAGACAAAAAGTCATGCAATTTATAATTTGGGTCTTTTTCAACATCTTCAACAAGTTTCAAATTGACCCTTTTGAATATTGACTCAACTTCATTGCTTTGAACTATTTTTGACCTGGAAGTTGTTTAATGGGAAATGAAAAAAGATGTGATTGTTAAACACTGAATCCCCCGTATTGTAACTTATGACAGTGATTGAAATTTCTCAAACGCAAGTAAAAATCCAAGATCAAGATCAAAATATTTGGTATCCGAAGAAAGGTCTTGTCTCAAGAAATGTATCTTTAAAATATGAAAGCCCTTGTAATAAACGTTCAAAAGTTATGACCAAGGTTTTTTTGTTTTATTTAAAAGTGGGGGAAAATATATACATCCACTGAAAGGTCTTACCACAATAAAAACGCATGGGAAGTATGAAAGCCCTATCATTAACTATTTAAAAGTTTTTGAAAAAGTGGATCAAACTCCAACGTCAAGAGGGCAAATATTGTGGTATCCAAAGAATGGTCTTGTCACAAGAAATATATAATCCATAGCCCACCCACTCAAAAGCTATGGGCAATATTAAAGTTTTTGCAGACAAACAGGCAGAAAGACAGACGGACGAACAGGGCCGAATCTTTGATTACGGTGGCGTAAAAAATGGTCAACATGTAGTGCTGACAAAGAAGCCGAAAATCCCTTCTCCGTTAACTTTTCTGAAAGTAGCCTGTATCAGCGTAAAAATTAAAGAAATTGAGAGCAAATTTTGAAGAAATTAGAATAATACCGGGTGTTATATTTAAAAATGATTCCATACGCAGGTTGTCCATAAAGATAATGACAAATGACGTTTTTGTCAAAGAATGGTGCTAGATTTATATATTATACTCAGTATATCAAAATTTTCTTATGACAATCCAAGTCAGAAAAGCTTGCTTTTATTGTTTGAACTTAATATTTTTATATAGATCATATATAGTACACACAGCCATGATTTTTTATATTTAAAAAGATCTTTAACGCTGAATAGTTTTCGGATGGATTCAATAATTCAAAAGGGAAAAAGGAGAGTTATAACATTACAGTCAAACCGGTATATTAAAATGTGTGGTTATACCAAAAAATATCGATGCTGTGTGCCTCATGATATCTGAAAATGCTAGATTTACAACAAAAGACGCTGTTGAGACATTTAACATTCAATCATCACAGCATTTTACAGAATTCCGACAAAGCAAAAAATGATAACAACAAGTTGCTGTCCTTTAAAAAAGGACTGCAGTACGTGGACCATATGCATATGTTTCTAACCGAAATTCAATTACAGAAAATTTCTAAGTTTAGTGCATATTCATGTAGGTTCGTTCACATTTCTACAGTGATCTGCCTACTTGGACTGATAGTACGGTACTTTCATAGCAAAATAGTTCAACTTTGTCTCCGATTAGCCTATAGTTTTGTCGTTTTAAAAATTTGCTATTTTGATACATGTAATCCATAGCATCTGATTGTACACGTGTATCACAGCTCTGTAATACGCAGATTTTTTTTGGAGCCCCACCCCCTCCTTCCCCCACATGTTAAACCTACAGACTTGTATCAAGGTATATTCAAGCTGTATTTGGATTCCTGTATATCAAATTATTTTGCAAGCCTTCATGCTCAAAACATTATTTATTGAATGACCCTCCCACACATGAACATCAGTTTATTAAGAAATGTCGAAAGCATAAAAAAAATTAAGTTATTCATGCAGATACCAAGGGAAAAATTTAGTTTCCTGATTTTATTGCACCCACTCTTTGACTAGATTGACGTCTTGGATACAGACAGTTTGTTCTAATGAGCGGCCAATAATGATCATTAGTCAAACGCCAATGCGGAAGACTTCGAAAATTTATGATTCCGTACAACATTGCGCAGAGAAGCCGAATTTCACTGTAAATTCTGTTCTTAATGTCAATATTATATCAGATGACCTTTCCTGAATGATGGTTGTCGGTGCGTCAATATTTTGCAGTTCTCTATGCCACTACTGGACAACCCTGGGTGTAACCAACACGCAAGAGAAATTTGAGGTTAATAGTGCTCATCTCTCTCTAAGCTTACTTCTTCATTCTTGTTTAAAAGTCTCATAAAAAGTCCAGTGGCGTAGCTACCATGTATGCTTGTATGCTCGAGCATGCACATCATTTTGCCAAAAAAAAATTAATAAAATAAAATAAATAGATAAATAAAAATGAGGCATGAAGAAATTGATAAACGTATAAGTACATGTATGCTAACGATGAAATAAGAAACCAACCACTGTATGTGATTGATACACATGAAAATTTTCTTTACATGTTTTATTTATATGAGTTGGAAAATTAAGGCGGGTAACCTCAAAAAGTTTATTGATTTTTATGGTATTTTCCGCCCTCATGTGATGGCATAAGTTTTTGAAAAAAAAAATTATTTAGTAGAAATATTTTTTTTTAAAGATTGCATTTCTACGGGTGTAATGAAAAAATAGAATTATGTATGTTAACAATGCAGCCAAATTAACATAATTTTCATCATACTTTTACTAATTTATCTAAACGGTTTTTAATGAAAATAAATGCAGTTTTTCTACATTGAACCCATAAAATTATGAATGTGGATAAACCGTAATCATCTAATTTTCCAACTCTAATTAAATTTTAGGGTTTAATAGACCAAATGATTTAATATATCATGTGAATTTAATTAGATTCTTCTGGGCAACTTCTTTTTTATTATTTTACCTTTGGTGGCCTATAGCTATCGGCTTCAATTTGTCCACTAGCTGAAAAAACAATCCGAATTTTCTTGTTTTTTTCCCGACTTTTCTAATAATTTTTGAAAAAAAAAACATTGCCAAAACTTTTTATATACTTGCCAAAAAATCACCAGTTTAGTTAATAGATGCTAATAAACTACGATAGCCCGTATTGCTTCAACGTTGATTTAAGATTAAAAAAAACCGTCTCTTAAAATAATCGCAGTGAGATCAGTAGAGACTAAAAATTTTGTCTGGTGTCTGACCAAAATTTTTAGTCTCGACGGGTCTCGCCAAGATTACTATCATAAAGGCTCCGTGGTTTTATTTCTAATGATAAAACGGTGTCAAGACATGCATTTTCTTAACTTTATTTTATGATATTATGAGTTTTTAAATCGTCAGAATCCAGGAGCTTCCGGGGGCTTCGCCCCCTGGGCCCCCACCAGGGCTTCGCCCCCAGACCCCTTGCCAATTTTAGCATGCAGTTCATTTTGAGCCTAGCTACGCCGCAGAAAACTCTTTCACTAAAAAGCATAACTGAAAAATTTATCTTCCTGGTAAAAGATGTCGTAGTTTTGTCTTGAGACGTTCAAGATGATCTTGCTAATTGAAACCTTGAACTCAAGCTTTATAAGATATGTCGACGTCATTTTATCAATTAAAATAAGTTACTTATGTTCTACTGTAATATTGGTGATAATTTGAAGTCTATGTATCACCTTTACAGGAAGGATTCTGAATTGTGAATGTTTACCAGAACACTAGCTGGTAATAGTAGATATATGTATATTGTGTTGAGTCCTGAGTACTCTTTTCCTTTTGTTCGATTTCTTTTATTGTATGATTATTCTGTAAAATAATTAGTTAATACTTTTAAATTATCTTCACTAAGAATGAAATATATTGAGATAACGAAGAGTATTCAAGCTCAAAAGTCTTTTAAACAATACAAAATTGGAGCAGAGCAAACACAGACCTCCAAAACATCAGACGTGGGATTAAGTGCTATGGAGGAGTGAGCATCCCCTGCCCATAACAACCGTGTGCTCCTTTTTATGATTGGGAATAGTTGCAGATCTGTAGCGTTATGGTTTAATATATTTGTCTTTGACCGTTCAAAGACAAATATATAAAAACCATACCGATAACGCTACAGATCTGCAGCTAGATTGGGAAGTAATTAAAAAATCCGTCGACAATTTAGCGTGTATATAATGCCCAAACAATAAGTATGAAAAATTGTCTTATCGTATGAAAATAGATTAATATATTCCACAACCTTTAAGTTAACTTATGCCGGACTAAAATTAATTACTCATGTTAAGTGTATTTTACATACATGTAATTCGACGTTTGCGAAGAGCGCTGACTTTTACACTTAGACAATATAAGGAAGCTCTTTTGCGATAAAAATATAAAAGGCTGAGAAAAAAAAACATATATAAGTTGCCCATAAAGAATCTGACAATCACCCTGCCCACAATACCGACCTTTACATACTAGTGTCCCAAACGCCATATCTATGACCACTAGACAGTTTTCTTATTTATTATTAATTCTATATCTCCGAACATGACACAGGTTTAAATGTTAAAGTAAACCGTCTACTGTAAAAGTCAGTGCTCCTAGCAATAGACCAATATTATTGTATTTACACATATTACAAACAATCCCCCGTCGACGTAATTAATGATTCTATATCCTCAAATATTTCTTGCAAACAACAAAATGTTTTTTACTACACATAGTCAATGAGATTTGACATTTCTGCACTCATAAATATGTTATTTTTCTTCCTATATTAAAAATTACATAAGCAATAACGTAAACATCTTGATCGTTTAAAAAAATGTCATTTTACATAATTCGAACAGAATGATTGAAATTATCTTATATATTCAGATAAGAAAATTTAAAGTGAGGGTCTATGATTTCATTTGAAGAAATTACTGAAATATTGTTAATTCAAATCTTAAATTGAGTTATTTTTTACAATGACTTTCAAAATATATTTGCTATACATGTATTTGTCAAACATGAAAGAATTCATGACAGTTGATTTCATATATAATTTAGGACCAGCATAAAACATTTCACTGCACAGAAACCTTCCGCCATAGAATATAGTTCGTTATTAAATGCATGTAGTGTGGGATTTAATCATTGGGTTTGATCTGAATATAAATTAATAAGCGTTGTACAAGCTAAAGCTGTTGTTCGAATTAGAAATTTGCATATTTTTTTTAAAAAATCCGACAAGAAAAAAACTCAAAAACGTTCTTCTTTAACAACAGAACTTTATGAAAACTGCGTTTTCTTCATATTTTATCGTCAAAGGCCCTTATCTGTGTAGCAATACACTCTTTTTACTTGCTTATATGGGGTTTCTGTCTACCATTTGATTGGATACATAATCCTTACTTATTGTTAGTTCATTATTTATACACTGAATTGACGACGTATTTTTCCGTTATCATGCGCACTCGAATTAGACTCAGCCTCGTTAAAACAACTATATGATCAGGTGGTGGAACTTAGTCACTAAGGGTGGACTCAGTACTACTTCATGTACAAGTCCAGATGCTGGACACTAGAAGTAAGATATGACTGGAGAGTGGACACTAAAAGTAAGGTCGGCTTCAGTGCAACTACAAAGTTGTGTACTTAAAGACGACGGTTGGCCTCAGTACTACTACTCGACCAGGTGGTGGTCTCTAGCACTAATGGAGGCTTCTTAACTACACATGATTCGATGGTGGACTCTTTTTAGAGTTGTCTTTCTTTCATTAAAATACAAGGGAGCTAATCCAACTGGTGTAAAATGATAATTTTTATTAGTACATATATCATCATTTCACGATGCATCGGACAAAAATTAAAGGGTTATTATTATGGTTCGCAATTCGTGCATATGTTAAAGATTACAGTAAGTTCAATCCATGTGAGAAAAAATGTCAAAGTCTACACAAAATTAACAGAGATATTGGATAAGAACCCAAAAATATTTTTCATAAATACACAACAAGATTGCCAGTTTTCCTACATGTAAGTATTAGGAATAAAAGTAAAATTTGTGAGAATGTAAAGATGTGTCAATTAAACCCATCAAAGAACTTAAAGTTTCAATAACTTTTATATGAAATAAAACTTTTAATATATATTTGTGTGAAATGCTATTAAAATCTATAAGTCGTGATATTATACAGAAAATATTAAGTTTACATCTGTGTCCATGCACTTTTAATATCTTTACGGCTTGATCCAAATCCACATTGGCTGCGTATGACCACATTTCAATAACCCGTTATATAACATTAATGGAAAATATCAGCTTATTTTGTACCACCAAAATTTTTTTTAAATCTTTAAATAGTTCATTATTTTTATCACCTTTATAGCTCTTCAAGAAAATACGATTGGTTGACCTTTCATTGTGATCCACCAATCATAAACAAACTAGAGGTACTGTGAGCAATGAGCTCACTAAATGATACGCCCCGCCTCCCATATGATTATAACTGATGACAAAGTCCATGTTTTGCTGTGGCCGGGAAACCCAAAATGTGTGTCGGATCAAAAAGTAAAATAGGAGGTGCACAATGGCAATCTATGATAAAGATTCTGTGAAAGTTTCATTAAATTTCACTCATTGGTATAAGAGGAGTTGCGGATAAGAGATGGGTACCCTAAAGCGTAACAGACGGACGGACGGACAGACGGACGGAAATCCCGATTACTATATACCCTCCCACTTTTCAAGCGGGGGGTATAATAATAATCTATGACAGATTAAAAAAACCTTCTTATACTTTAGTTTTAGTATGACTAATAAGTTCTTTAACAAGAATTTTTCATTATTTACAATATTTCAATATCATCTTACCTTTCGTGTGCCACTTTATTAGATTTCAATAAAACATATAACTGGTACCCAAGTATCGAGAACTTCATTGATTTGTTTGATCTAAAACACATAAAGGAGAAATTCTTCAAAATCATATGTCAATGTTAAATATTTTAATTATTATTACAATTATAATATATATTTTATAATTATTATAATTAAAATTTTGGCATTCCCAACAATCAAAATGAAATTGAATCACAATACTTTTACTGGATTTCAAAACTCAACAAAAATATTAGTTAACAAAGATACATAGCGGTCTCCAGTTAATGTTCGACCAAACCTCTTTCTTTACTCTTTATTAAAATATTTATAGCAGTTCAGGATAAACATTGGAGTATTGTACAACAGTATATTCGAGAAGTGATGTGATTCAAATGTGGATATTTTTAGAAAATGTAAAATCACAAAATTTTACTAAAAGTCGATAACTAAACGCGACACTTCTATACATTTTATACAACCATCCCACGCAAAAGATTGAAGTCTAGGCTTTTTGACATTATAGATATCACCTTTTCAATAAAAATGAACTCGTTAATAATTATATACTTGCCTTGAATATGCATTTTACCCTGAAGCGGTATTTAAACTATAAGTACTGTGAGCACCGAGCTTACAAAATGATAACCCATCCCCCATATGATTATGACGGCAAAGTCCATATTTGGTTATGGAAGACCAGAAATGTTTCAGATCGGAAAGTAAAATAGGAGATGCACAATGGTAATGTGTAATAAAGAATCTTTGAAAGAATCATTAAATTTAATTTATTGGTATAGGTTGAGTTGTGGATAAGAGATTGGTACCCAACAATATTATAGAAAGAATGGAAAACGCAAAGTATGTGTCTGATAAAAAAGAAAAATAAGAGGTGCATGACACTTTGTAGAAAAGATTTTGTGAAAGTCTCAGTAAATTTCATTCATTGCCATGAAGTCAGACTCTGGGGTATCTTTTATTTTATGCTCATATGGGTATATCGTGTCGACATAAGAATGGAAATAACCATTGTTAATTGACAATACGTCACCGATATATCTAAATGCCAAGTCGAAGGCCATAGGAAGTGTTTTCTTCTTTTCACGTATAAGATTTTAAACAAATTCGACTTCATGTGAATACAAGAATGGGTCTGTTATAACGGGTGGGAATTGGTACACATAGGAATTTCAATAAATTGTTGGAAGACCTGGTCTCCAAAAACAACACAGGTATTGTTAAACAGAAACTCTATCATCCTTCTAATATTTCTAATATCAACGTCATAGTTTTTGTTTACAATCATATTCTTGGTTTTAACAAAGTAATTTTGGTAATTACAATGACGTGGTAGGTACGAATTCCATTTTTACTTTAAAAAAAGCTGTGAATGATTTCAAAACGCCTAAACTTAAATTAATCGTTGGGAATGGTCGAATATCTGAATTGGAATGGTCGAATATCTGAATTTGAAAAGTTGTAAGTTTTTATGTTGTTCATTTGTAATGATTTCAAAATAATATATCTCTATATTTCTTTATAGTTTGATTCACGTATGAAACTTCTTTGTAATTTTCCCTTAAAGTACTGTATATTTGTTAGTACTAGAAATTATAAAAGTATCAATAATCTTTTGGTTGAAATATACCCGTATGCACACATATGCATGTTACTGTGACTTTAAAAAATATGTATGGAATTACTGACAAATATTCTTTCGTCTGCAAAGGCAAGTTGTATGAACATTATTACAGGATTAATAAAAATGTTTTGATAAGATAAATACAGAAGAAGAATATGTATTTTTTTAAGAGGGTAAGTATAATACAACTGTAAATTTTTATCTTCTTAAGTGAATAATGATTGTTCATACTTCAGACATATTTGTACTTTATTTGAGGAATAATTACCCTGAGGATCCTTTTAGTATTGTTCGTGTAATTCAAGAGGAAATAATTTCTACAAAATGAATTACCATATCTGGATGTTTTTTTTTTTCCTTATGGCAAATAACGAGAATGCTAGCTCTCTCTCTCTCTCTCTCTCTCTCTCTCTCTCTCTCTCTCTCTACTTTTTGAGTAAGCCACGAAAAAAATATGTTTCCTTGAACTGGCCTTGAATGCTGAATGCATATCTAATGACTCTCAGACTATCAATAATAGTCGGAGGGAAATCGAAATAGAAAACATTATTACATGCCGTCTCTGGGGGAAAGCAGAACCCTGGATTTTAATCATTGCCGCAATCCTTCACGGTAGACGTCAAACATTGAGTGTCTGTGCACGCTGAGTGAACTTTGTTGAGGACATCAAATATTTTGTTTAATGTTTTTTTTTAATTGAGTCAGAATAACAAGAGGCCCACGGGCCTTATAGGTCACCTGAGTATTGTGTAACAACTTTCAAACAATTAAATTTGGTTCGTGTTTTAAACCAGAGGCCATGAAATTCACAATTCACAATGTTGAAAGAGGCACCATTGCTCATCATAATCATTAACTTAGAATGCTTACTCTATTTACTTAATACCCAGAGGTAGATCAGAGTAACAAAGAGAAAATAAATGCACTTCCACTTTATACCCAGTTGTGCACCTCATCCCAAAGGAACCACGGACCCAGGGGCCACATATTTCAAAATTTTGCAAATTTTATAAAATGGTTGATTAATACCAAAGAGCAGATTTCAAAGCATTAATTTATTTTCAGACTATGTAACCCCCCCATCCCCCCCCCCCCTCTGACCCAAGGGGCATAAAAAATCCACTTTGCTAGATGCACCTTTCTTCATCATAAATATATATACTTGGATCATTGGCATAAAACCCAGAAGCAAAGGAAAATATTTTCAAAGAATTAATGTATTTTTACTATATAATCAATAGAGCCCCGCCCTAACACCAGAACCTCTGACCCTGGGGCCATAAAATTCACAATTTTGAAAGAGGCAATCTTGCTCATCATAACTATGTACTTAGTTTATTTAATACCCAGGAGCAGAGAATAAGACTTTCAAAGAATAATGCATTTTCACTATATAATCAATAGAGCCCTGCCCTAACACCAGAACCCCTGACCCTGGGGCCATAAAATTCATAATTTTAGAAGAGGCACTCTTGCTCATCATAACGATGTGCTTAGTTAGTTTATTTAATACCCAGAAGCAGAGAAGAAAATTTTCAAAGAATTAATGCATTTTCACTATAATCAATAGAGACCCGCCCTAACACCAGAACCCCTGACCCTGGGGTCATGAAATTCACAATTTTGGAAGAGGCACTCATGCTCATCATACATATAACTATGTACTTAATTAGTTTATTTAATACCCAGGAGCAGAGAAGAAGATTTTCAAAGAATTAATGCATTTTCACTATATAATCAATAGAGCCCCGCCCTAACACCAGAACCCCTGATCATGGGGCCATAAAATTCACAATTTTGGAAGAGGCATTCTTGCTCATCATAACTATGTACTTAGTTAGTTTATTTAATACTCAGAAGCAGAGAAGATTTTCAAAGAATAAATGCATTTTCACTATATAATCAATAGAGCCCCGCCCTAACACCAGAACCCCTGATCCTGGGGCCATAAAATTCACAATTTTGGAAGAGGCACTCTTGCTCATCATAACTATGTGCTTAGTTTATTTAAAACCCAGGAGCAGAGAAGAAGATTTTCAAAGAAATAATGCATTTTCACTATATAATCTATATAGCCCCGCCCTAGTTCTAGAACCCCTGACCCTGGGGTCATGAATTTCACAATTTTGGTAGAGGACTCAATGCTCATTACATTCATGCCAACAGTTTGCCTGCTTGATGTCCAGGAGTAAAGAAGAAGATTTTTAAAGATTGCACTAATTTTAGTGGTTTTGGCCCAACCCCTCAGGCCCCAGGGGGGCGGGGACCATGAAATTCACAACTTTTGTTCCCCTTTACCCATAGAAGCTGTATACCAAATTTGGTTGAAATTGGTTCAGTGATTTCAGAGAAGAAGCTGAAAATGTTCAAATGTTAACACACGACACACGAAGGACGACGACGGACGAAAACGGATAGCAATAGGTCACCTGAGTTACTCAGGTGACCTAAAAAAAAAAGACATAATCTGCATGTTGGTTAAATATATACTAATATTGCAAAATTTATAAAATTTTATTTAAATTTTTAAGCATTTAAAATGGGGGTATGTGATGTGTTCAACAAAAATTAGTAACTTTTTTTTTTTAATGAACGACCACCCAAGAAATTTTAGCAATAATCATATTTCTCTAAATAAGCAATTCTTAAAAATGGAAGGAACCAAGAGAAATATATAAGGTAAATTTATCCCTGTCCAAAACTGTTAATGTTCGTATGATGTTAAAATAAAGACAAGTGGTTTTTTAATATTATAAATATTTAAACGGTATAGAAAAGGTAAACGAACTGTTATATCTCTTATTTATTCTCTATATAATACGAATCTTTTTAAAACAAGACAAAAACACTGAGATACAGGAAGTACTTGAGTTAATATTAATCCAAAGGATGTGTACTGTCCATACAAAGATTTACTGACATCACCATAACACAGCTGTGTTCTCAATTGACCTCAGGTTAGCATTTGTGCAACGAGTCCCCTGATTCATAATTCTCAGTCTATTTAAAATAAGAAAAATTAATACCAATTTAAATCTATAAGAGGGCATTTTTCTTCACGATAAGGTATACAGATTTTAAGACTGAAGATTTTTTCTACAAACAAAAGGGTAGATGTTTTATACGTCAAAAGATGATCCCTGCTCGTTATTCTGTAATGAAAAATTACTCAGTAATGATTGAGTACTACATAGAAACCCACTTTCACGAAAATTAATGATTATTGGTTAAGATCCCTCGAAATTATATCATTATTCTTATAAATAAATACACAACTGCTTATTGTTCTGAAAAAAAAACCCAATGACGTTATTTCTTCAATCAATATCTTGCATGGTTTACTTTGCATGTTTATTAGATTTTGTTATACAATAAGCAGAAATCTAAAAATATTCAAGAAGTGTTTGCAAGTTATATGGCTTACAGTCATCCTGAAAGATATAAATATAATCCTTCTCTTCATGAAGCTAGTCCATATTGTTTATATTTAAATTATATCTTTAACAAAATTGAATGCAAGTTTAATATATTGTAGCAACACGACACCTAAGTCTAAGACCGCTTATAAAAACCAATAATTGCTGACGTTTTTCATGCTGATTGTTAGTCCATTGCTTGCACATTGAGTTGATTCCCGATCACGACAGGGAGGTCCCAGCAGGTGTGACCGGTCAGCAGTGGATGCTTACTTCTCCATGACACCTGATTCCACCTCTAACGTATTAGAGGTCCGTGTTTTCTCTGCTCCTGTTTTGTTTAATGATTTTTTTTTAGCTTTACTACTGTTCGTTATCTCCATATATTTCATTTTTATGCTTACTAGTACACAATTTCTCTTCCTCACTACCATTAAGATTATGGACTATATCGATTTCATATGGAGATTTTTATTTCTTTTCACTCAAAAAATCAAAACCCAGCTACTCCATAAATATCATTATCTTCCCTTGTTCTTTATTTAAATTTATTTGATGTTGTGCTCTGTTGACATGATATTGTGATTGGATTAAATGTTAGATCCAATTCCTACTGTTTTTGGTTGTGTCCCGCCGTCATTGGTAAGCCAGAAGATCTTATTCTGGGTCAGACTTCTCCATTTGTACAGTCATTTATCAACAGTCAGTGACCAAGTCGGCAGGTTTCATTCACTTCTTTTTGGCCTATTAATCTGCCCAGAAACCATTAATGAGCTTGACTGTCTCGGAACGCAATCAAAAAATCGATGGAAAAAACATTAATGTAAAGCACATTGGGAACCCATTGAACACACAGACTATCCGTTCCTGTCCCACGAGATCGATGTGTTGACGGACAAAAGTTCAAGATCACCAGACGATCGTCTGCAGAAATAATTGTCGTCTGGCTGGAACCTCTAGGAATATCTTTTGAAAGATAATTGAATAATTGAACATAATCAGTCTGGTCATTGATGCTCTACGTATTCTGACGAATAAATACTACAATAAGAGACTATTTTAATACCGCATCAAAGCTAGATTATAAAAAAAATATTCAGACCATAAAAATATTTTTGTTAACTCTTTATCATTACATTCTAATATAATGCTTTTTGTTTTCAATTTTTATTCCTTAAATTTGCAATAAAAATTGATATAATTTACGGACAAAATTGTTGTCTGATTTAGTTAATAGCAACGTAAGAAAATCAATAAATCGAAATGCATTATAAAGCTTTGGTGATGTTTGCATGATATTGCTACTTAGTTTTATTCCTTGACAATGAATTGTTCACTCAAGTTTTCTTTTCCTCTGTTCGCATGCATTTAGCGACTCCAACGTAGATACAATGTCAAAGTATTACTGTGCCTGTCTATTACCTGAGCAACTATAACACAGGTAAAAAAAAAAAGGATCTCAAGGTAGCACACTCGCTTCTAACTGCTGCGATCAGAGTTCGATCCCTGCTTTCGGCAGTGGTCACAAAATGAGCTAAACATAGTTTACTAGGTTTATCGGTTGTTAGATATAGTTTACGGACTGTAAACTGTAGTTAACAACGTTAATCTATATCTTACATCTGTAAACTATAGTTAACGCAATAATCTATGTTTCAGAACCGTAAACTATATTTAATACTGAAAACAATCATTTGCGATTGCAAAACATAAATTATCTGATAAAACAGTTTCACAATTTGTAAACTATGGTTTACAACTCTTAACTGTAGTTAGCGATCTGATAAATATAATTTCAAGATTTGTGAAACTACGATTAACAACTGTTAACTATAGTTCACGATTGTAAATTATAGTTTACAGACGTGAATCTATGTGAATCTATGTTTATCACCAAAAACTATTGTTAACGTTTTATTACAGACAGATAGACTTTGATTAGCATTCGCAAACTATAGTTAACAACCGTTTATGGCACGCCAAATTCACAAAAATGAGATAATCATAGTTTCACAATCGATAAACTAGGTTTATCGGTTGTAAACTATAGTTTACAAACCGTAAACTATAGTTAACAACGTTAATCTATATTTCACATCTGTAAACCATAGTTAACGCGATAATCTATGTTTCACAACCGTAAGCTATACTTAACACCGAAAACAATCATTTGCGATTGCAAAACAGAGATTATCTGATAAATACAGTTTCACGATTTGTAAACTATAGTTTACAAACCGTTAACTATAGTTAACGATCTGATATATATAGTTTCACAATTTGTGAAACTATGATTAACAACTCTTAACTATAGTTTACGATTGTAAACTATAGTTTACAAACGTGAATCTATGTTTATCAACAAAATCTATTGTTAACGCTTTATTACAGACAGATAAACTTAAATTAACATTCGTAAACTATAGTTAACAACCGTTAAATATAGTTTTACAGATAAAAACTATACTTAACGAATCGTTAACTATAGTTTACGGTTTGTAAACTATAGTTTACAGTCAATAAACCTAGTTTATCAATTGTGACACTATGATTATCTCATTTTTGTGAATTTGGCGTGCCATAACCGTTAAATAAAGTTTTAAAGATGAAATCTATAGTTAACGAATTGTTAACTATATTTCACGGTTTGTAAACTATATTTCACAGTCGATGAACTTAGTTTATCAACTGTGAAACTGTGTTTAGCTCATTTTTATGAATTTGTATGTGGTCATATATGATAGGGTAATGTGGTCGCTCGCTCTGGCACATGGGTTTCGTCAAGCTACCTCGGTTTCTTCCCACAAAAATCACGCAACCGTGCAAACATCCGTGCAAAGGATCCCTTGGCAAATAAGCTTCAGATCGAGCTTTCAGGGACTCTCCTTGGTTTCGTATAAATGTTCGAAGGGTAAAAACTGCGAACTTTCTCTGTATCTACATACATTACAAAAAGGCATTGTCATGACCAAGATCTTTAAAATGCATGAAATATGTGGAGATAAAGAACAGTTTCCGAGCCCAAAAGTCTACTAAATATTACAAAACATATATATAGGAGCGGAGCAATCACGGACGTCCAAAAAATCAGAGGTGGGATCAAGTGCCATGAAAGAGTGATCATTCCCTTAAGATCGGTCACACCCGACGTGTGCTCCATGAACATGTCATGTTCGGGGAAGAAAATGGTGAAATCCGTCGACAACTGCGTGTGCAAATAATGGCCTAACAATCAGTCTGATAAAAGTCAGTAAGCATTTGACTTTGTGATAAATTGTATTTGATGGCAATGTCATTGTATCGACCCTAGGACCTACGAAATGTTGACTTTAAATGAGACGGCTGATATTCTTGCTTCATTAACTTGTTTTTCAATAACATACCTCGTTTCAGATATCGTTCATACGTAAAACATGCTCTTCTGTATCGAAATTATTGAGAAAAATAAATTCAGTACCAGGGTATACAGGTGACAAAGGTATACTGTTGCATAAGTAAGGGAAGTTGATGACTAAAGTTAAAGTCATCATGTTTATTATAAAGCTTTGTTATTAGATAACAATTTAACGTCATTTTCGATTAAATTATCCAAATATAAAACAGAGGTGTCAGACTCTGTGGTATCTTTTATATCAAGCTCACCGAGAAAGAGAACTTTTTAACATTGTTGTTTATTTCTTAATTGAATCAGTGTATATAGTTGTACTGATTTTGCATATTGTTTTCACCCACAAAAGGTATTAGGGTTAGTCCTCGTTCACAATTTGACTGATAAGGGTTAGTCATGAACGCTAATATGTTTCTTAGAACCCACCCGAGAGATTAGTCCTCGCGCACTATTGGACCGATTTGGATCAGTCCTGCATCCACCAAAGATATTTAGGTTACATAGTTGTTACTCTTTTTTCGACTGATAAGTGTTAGTATTGCACCTTTATCCAAAAGGGTTAGTCTTTATCCAAAAGGGTTAGTCTTTGAATTTAAGATAATTTGTATTTATTTTTTAAAAAATGGTACTTGGCATGGAGCGGCATCGTAGCAGTACTATGACGTCATAAACGTTAATTGTTTTCAGTACCATCGGACTTTGGCGTGTCAGACCATCGGGGTTTGGCACAGACCATCGGACTTTGGGGTGACCATCGGACTTTGGAGTCCCTTCGCACTTTGGAGTCCTACATATTTACTGTTCGTTATTTCCATATTTCTTGATAAACTTGCTGACATTTCATACGAAGACTTAATTCCTATAGTTATCTTTTAAACACAATCAATATCAACCAAAAGTTAGATTCTAAGGTCAAAGTAAATTATATTCAAATAACTAAAAGTAGGAACAACTAAAATAAGCTCTTCAAAAAGCCAGATATTCTATCAAATGTTTTTGTTATTCAATTAATTTTCCACAAATGAAGAAAATTATTTATCAATGAAAATTTCCTTCATAAACATGCATCAGATGAGTGTTAGATTTCTTAAAATTTGCTTTACTTTTATTTTTGGAAAATATTCTCTGATTTTCGTTTGAAATCACATTATAAATGTGTGGGCATCGTCAAGATGTTATTCACGCGTAATGAGACTTTCTTCCTCCAATGACTGGTTTGATATTGTGTGGTCTTCAGAAAGATTAGACAAACCTACGCTTGAAAAATATTTTGATGTTGAATGTGTAATCGCAATCAGCGCCTTACGAAATATTACCACAAATACATCGTGATCAAGAGTTTATCACATTTTGTGTACGTACGTTTTCTTTATATTAACACCAACTTGTCAACTCTTTACCTTTTTTGTACATTTTTGCAGAGTTTTGACGAAAATATATCAAAACATAAAAGCTTTTGGGTTTTTTTTCACCTCATGAGAATTAAATATAGAGAAAACGAACAGTATTCACTTTCAAAAATACATTCAGACAATACAAAACAGAAGCACCTCAACACATACATGTAACTTCTAAAATCTATAGGTGGGATAAGATGCAATGGAGGAGTAAACAAACCATGTCTACCAGTCTTCCTTGTATTTATCTAGCAAGATTATTCAGTGAGTACACTGAATACTAGTACATTAACAAATGGTATAAAAAGGACAGTTAGCAATTGACTTATTGTTAGATTATATATGCTCTCAAGGTCGCTATATCGACGATAGAACATGCAAAATCATAACTTTAAACGACACTGTGATTATCTTTGTTTCATCAACTTGTTTCTCAATTGCTTTCCACGTTTTAAAAATGTTCTTCCATCGAGAATGCTCTTGCATATTGAATCAACTAGAAGACATAAACCCAAAATGAAGATGATAAGATTGCATTGCTATAAAAGTAAAGGAAGCAGACGATAGAAGAATTGATGTAATCACGTTATCACAGTTTTGTTAGATTACCATTAACGTCAAGACTATTAATTGTTTTCCTTAATAAAATAGTCGCCCACGTGAACGTCTGCTCTAGAGTCGCGAAGTGAGGATTCAATCCTTATGTTGCAGGTCCGAATACCATTGTGGGACGTGGAGACCGATCCTTTGGATGAGACCTATAAACTGAGGCCCCGTGTCGCAGTAGGTGATGGCACGAAAAAGATCCCTCCCTGCTCAATGGCCCTAAGTGCCGAGTATAGGACAAAATTTGTAGCTCTCCATCGGCCAGTGGTGGCGTCTCCAGGTGAGTGAAAAATTCTCGGGAGGGACTTTAAACAACATGCAATTAATCAATCCTTAATAAAATAAGCATCAACTTACATAATTTTCATCAATTAGTAAAAAGATATCTATGCCAACCTAGAAAATTTTGATTAAAAATCATTAATTTCAATTTTAAGTAAACATGTTTGCAAATACATATATATGTATATATACATAAATACATTAGGAATATTGTGATAATATACATGTAAGTATGATTCATTTCCTGCTTTGACCAATATTTTAGGTCGATAATACTTACAATAAAATCAATCAAACAAAAGAAAGTGACTTAATTATATCCAAATATTAAATAAATTGAGAGAAAGAGAATTATTCTGACTCGTACCCTCCAATTTATAAATTGCAATTCAAATATTGACTTTTTTTTCAAATTGCTATTCGTTGACAATTTTACTTTTATACACAACTATCATATCCAGAAAAGTAAATTTTAATTAATTTCGGTGACCGCACGTTATATGAGACGACCTGATAGTAAATGAAATGGCCTAGATTTAAATGATGACCATACAATTTTAAAACGCAAACAGGCTTGTAAATTTTCAAAGCTTGTCAAATTCAATAAGAAGTAAATGAGCAAAATCTCTTGTGGTAAATTTTTTGTTTGAAAGAAAAATGAAAATAAGACACTGTTACTCTTCATGCAGATTGATCAGTGAACAATACACACGGCGTTAGGCACGATAAACTGATTCTTTATATCAGAACAATGTCATGCAATTATGGCGCCCAGTCGCAATTTAATGTTTGCCTAGTTGGGAAAATATAAATACATAGATAGCAGTAATAAGTGCAATTTTGAGACAATTCGCTGACTCATAAAGGCCCGAACAATCCCAGTGATGATTCATATAATAATTGGATATCAATATCTGACTGAGCTGGTGATTTGATAAATGCTTTATTTATCAGTTATAATAACATCCATTTTCATGCAAACTCAAACAAGTCGTGGAATAGCGATTCAAATGTCGGTCAAACGGTAAATGCTTACTAGAATCTTTTATTTTGGACAGGTTACGCCCAACTGTCTTTTTATGGAGTTAAGGACTTTTTGGTATTTAAACTGCATGACCTACAATATGACATAAAAATAATAAATTAAAAAAAAAAACACTGTATCACATAATTTAAAATTAAATACAGGTATTCTAAATATTAAGACAAAGTGGTCGATAACTTCTTTGTAAGTATAATCTTTATTCATGTGAGTAAAAACTATTATAATTTCACCATTACATCGTTGTCTTTGAAGTGTTTCCTGAATATCCAGATTTGTTTTTGAAACACTGATGCCCCCATATGACAGCTTTTGGCGATAGATGAATTTTCTCAAATGCATGTCAACTCAAAATGTCAAGGTCAATCAAAATTGTTGGTAGCCAACGGAAGGCCAAGGTTAAAGTTTTTAAGTGGGTCAAACTCTAGGGTCAAGGTCAAAAGGTCAAATATATCTACACCCACTGAAAAACCCTGTCACAATATATACACAAGTTAAGTTTGAAAGTGCTAGCACAGTTCAACAGTTCAAAAGTCATGGCCAGTGCTAAAGTTTGGAATTCTTAAAAGTTAGTTTTTAAAGTTGGTCAAAGATCAAGGTCATATTTTCGTGGTACCTAATGAAAGGTCTTGTCACAAGGAATACAACTATGAAATAGGAAAGTCCCACCTACTCAAAAGTTATGAGCAATGTTATAAAGTTTTTGTGGACAGGCAGACAGATAAACTGACAGACGAACGGACATGGCAAAACTATATACCCTCAAATCTTCGATTACAGGGGCATAAAAAATCTTATCGTTTATTATACAACGAAATCGTTCAGCAGCATTTATTATTTTGCAAAATGATAACTCACGAAGACTGTTTCAATAACATGTAGTTAAATACCATTTGTATGCACTGTTTAAGATATATTCTAAGTAATGCAACGTATTGATAGCCATTGACATTTAAAACAAGTATTTTGTTTGTCTGTTTTGTCTAGAAAAACACTTTTAATTTCACACAAACAGTCTTAACTGTCTAGTGCGACACCAGAACAGTCTGTAACACTGTGAATTCCAACGTGAAATTCCTTTCCCTTTTTACCATATTTCCTGTTTTTACACTGCACAATCTAACACCTTTGCTTTTTTCCGACACATTTGTAATGGATGTCGGATTAAACAGGTTTCACTTTATTCAGACACCACTTTTCTCCGGTAGAGGACTGCAAATTTGGACCTGTACTCTGTTCTCAGAGTTGAAAGGGATCTTTTTCATGTCAGCATCTATTCCGGCAATGGACATCGGTTTCCTCTGAAGGAGTGGTATCCATGCCAAGGGGTCATTTTCAAGGAAATTTCGAAATATTAATTTTAGAGGTTTTAAACAATATCTTGGATCAAAGAAATTACTTAATAATCTGTGATAAAGCAATTTGACAGTTTAAGTAGAAGGTATATATAGAGTTATCATATTCTTTCCATATTGTTTAGAGTCATTCAAATTAGAATGCTTGAAAGTTTTGTAGGGATAGTTAAATTTTAAAAAATCATCTACTTGTAATTGTTATTGATAAAACTAAATTATAAACTATCCTAAAACACAGCATAACAAAAAGTTTGAGTTCCATAAAGTGTAAAATGTGTTAAATGAGATCTTTATTTTTGATATCACTTTTCATCACAAAAATGCAATGGTGAATAGTTTGCACTTTTTAACTGTGATTTGTCAGTAATTAATTGGTCAATTTTTGTACGATTATAGGCTGAAACAAATTCAAAAATATTTTGAAAAAAGGAGATGGAGAGACTTCAGTAAATAGATGCATAGGGGACTATTGTACCCATCATCACTTTTGAAGAGGGGGGGGGGGGAGAGGCAAGAGTATCTTTGTGCCCCTCATCCAGTTTAAAAAAAAAACTGAGTACAGTAGAGATCTTCTAATAAATGCCAAAAATAAAGAAGAAAACTCGCAGTTGGATAATTAAATCTCTAATTTTTTCTTGTTATATATTTAATTTGGCTGACACTACACTTTCTCCCTTTTAAATTTGTGACTATGCTTATACAGATTTATTATATCATTTATAATTACATCGATTTTCATGCAAACTCAGTGAAGTCGTTGATTAGCGATTCAAATGTCGGTAAATCAGTAAATGCTTACTAGAATCGTGTTGAGTACCTCTGCTTGATGTTAATTGTATTTCATCAGATAGGGCTTATTTTGGACAAGTTACGCCAACTGTCTTTCTATGGAGTTAGGGACCCTTTCTACACTGCACCCTTATTTCAGGGTACTTTGTGGTATCTAAACTGACCCACAGTATGACATAAAAAACAATAAATTGTAACATATACTGTATAACATAATATATTAT